ATAAATAAATAAATAAATAAATAAATAAATAAATAAATAAATAAATATGTACAGGATAAAATGTAGATAATTAAATGTCTATATCTTTGTTCTGCAAAACCAACTTATTATGATAAAGAGAAAGAGAGAGAGAGAGAGAGAGATAAGAGAGACAAACAGACAGATAATCACTAGACAGATAGATACCGTTAGATAGATAGATACCGATAGATACCATTAGATAGATACCGATGATAGATAGATAGATAGATAGATAGATAGATAGATAGATAGATAGATAGATAGAGATTATAGTCTATCTATCTAATTATAGTCTAACTAATCAACTTAAATTGTATAGATAGATAATATTTCTCTATACAATTTAACTTTAATTCATTTTGATGCTATAATTAGCCGTTTGCAAGTATCCTAAAGTTTTTTTCTTTTCCATAGCCTAATTGCCAGGAATTTTCAACCTTTTTAAAGGCATGACCGCTCCGTTCTTAAAACAGGATTTTCTTTCCCGTTCTCAGAAAAGAATGTACCAGAACTGTGCTCAAACATATGGTTGGAATAATACCTTTTACAGCTTCCACTGAAGCCTTTTGCTGTCCGTTCCCTCATTCCTCAAAGCTGATATTTTTTTTAAAAAAAGAAAGGCAACCTGACTCAGATAAAAGGAAATTACTGAACAGGAAGGAATTAAATATTGGCCTGAACTGCCCTGCATTCTGCAGAAAAAAATATGGCAGCAAAGATAAATACATATCACACAGAATGTTTATTCAGGACATCTCTGAGAAGGTCACAAGCCAGTGCTTTACTTTCCCCCTCTCCGTCCCCCAAAAAGCAAACCGCTACATTTTTCCCATAATTTTTTGTTCAATTTTGAATTTTTTTCTCTCCAAAAGGGAGCATTTCAGTGAAATTTCAAGGTGCGCTATGATGTTCTTGAGCTTATTAACTAGGAGGCCGCAGAGGTGAATGAATGTCCTGTCTTTTGTTATACTCTCTTCAAATGAGCAGCGATTTCTCTTTTTCCCACTTTTATTAATCCCAAAGGTATTATAATAGCCTCCAAAGGGCTTTCTCTGATTAGGAAGTGTGGGTTGGCTATGGAGACTGGAAAGGTCTGTCAGAGAAATCAACAGCATTGGCACGAGGTTCCTGTATCACTTCCATCTAACAATCAAATCACTTCAAGACTATCCTTAAGGGAAAATTAAAATAATATGTTTAGACATGGGTGTCAAAAAGTAGAAGTAGAAAAAAGTAGAAAAACATGCGTCTCTTTCATCGGTTGAGAACATTTTGAGAAATTGCCAGGCAGATTTCCATGTAGCATGACCTTAAGGCAAGACATGATAGAAGGAGGTTCAAAGGTTATCTCCAACCCAACCAAGAATCAGTTGCATTTTCTCTAAATGCAGAAATTCCATTCTTAATCATCAGCCTGAAATGCTATTAAAACTGCAGTCCCACACAATCTTACTTCAAAGGAGTTTCTAGCAAACATTCATAAAGTATTTATAGAGTTGCATGCAACTGAACTCCCTGAGTTTACATAACCTTATTTTAAACTTAATCCAAGGAACCTGGCCAATCGAAATGAACGATAGAATTAAAAGCCATCGTGGCATTTTAGGGGGATATCCATAAGTTAATTGCATATGAAAAGATTCTTCCCCCAGAGTTTTCCTAAGCTCTGGTATAAAACACCGAGAAGAACGAGATGATAAAAATTTTAATTTGCGTTTAGGAAGAATCAAATTCTACAAGGAGATAACTGAGAATTTGTCATTAGATTCTACCTATTCACTTGTCCCACCTGATAGCTTCTCTTACTGTTTAAGATTAGTAAACTGAGCCAAAGTGGCTGCAAATTCCAGATGTAAAACAGCATGCCACACCCACTCATGTTTTAATCAAATTCAACTCATTCTATCAGTTCTATCTGGGATGGGCTCCTTGGCTAAAGTATAGTAGCAACAATGTAGGAGATGTTTTTAATAGACCTTTGAGATGATTTTTCATTCTTTAACTATGACTATGTCAAGCGCAGGAAATCGGGAATCCAGGCAGTTCAAATAAATATAAGTTTATTGTATGCTAATGCTTTTCTACAAGAATGTGAACTACTAATGATCAAAGCAAATTGGCGGTAGATAAGAGTCAATGGAACTCAAGATGGGCTGGACTTAGATCTCTTGTGGGCACGAAGAGACTCAAGACTGATGACACATTTGACCCCTCCTCCCTTGAGCTCAGCCTGGTCATCTCCCACAGATTGTACAGGTAGTCTTCAACTTACGACCACAATTGAGCCTAACATTTCTGTTGTTAATTGAGACATTTGTTAAACATTTGTTAATCTATTCTTACCCCATTTTACAACCTTTCTTGCCATAAGTGAACCACTGCAGTTGAAAAGTTAGTAACCTGGTTGTTAACTGAATCTGGCTTCCTCGTTGACTTTGCTTGTCAGAGAGTCACAAAAGGGGATTGCATGATCTTGGGACACAGCCACAGTCATATGAACCAATTGCCAAGCATCTGAATTTTTATCCATGATCATGGGCAAAGGTGTTATGCCCTTGTTAAGTCAGACTCTGAGGGAGAGGAGGAACAGCCGACAGTGGAGTGGAGGTGTGGCTCTGGAGGTTGTAGAGGAGGCTGGGGAAGGACAGAGGCCAGCTGGGTAGTCAGAGGAAGACCCAGGCCCAGGAGGGGAGGATAAGGGAGAGACATGAATGTCTACAGGGAAGGAAAGGGCCTTGATCCTCTTCATGGGCTGCAGCTGTGAGAACTGGTTAAAAGGACGGACATGCGCATGGGCCAGTGCTGGAAACAAAGTGTGGAAATATCTCTAGTCTGGCGTTCCTCTCTCTGAGTTTGGCGTCCTTCCCAGTATGTGTTCTGATATCTGTGAACGTCTTCAAGTCCTTATCTTGCCTGGTTCCCTTAATTACTTCAGTGTGGCTTGTGTTGTTTTTACTCTTTATAATTTATAGGCATTTTTAGTTTAAATGGTATTTCCTCCTTTTCGTAACTGTTTGTGGGGGAGTTTTTTGTCTTCAGTCAAGAATATTTGGAACTTTAAAGCAAAGTGAAGGAATAAAAGAGGCCTCACCTGTTTTTGTGACTGTGTTTATTTTGTATCTCACCCTGGGTCATCCCAAAAGGTCTTAACTGTGAAAAACAGTCATAAGTCACATTTTGCAGTGTCGTCGTAATTTTGAATGGTCACCAAATGAACAGTTGTAAGTTGAGGACTACCTGTATTAGCAAATCTCTTAATACATATCACAATGAACTTTGAAAGAGGAATTTAAACTTCAAAGAAAGAGAGAGAGAGAGAGAGAATGAATAAATGTAACATTTTGAAATACCTGTTGTATATACTCCAGCTGAGGTCATTGTTTTTCTAAAGGGTGAAATGGCTGCTTCTTTTTCGGCTTCTAGTTCTTGAAGAGACTTCTGCTTAACTGGGGCAGCAGGTGGTAAAGTTTTAGGTAAAGGTGCTGGAAAGATATTTTTCCCTTCCTGTAGCAGAGACATTAGGATGAGTCCTTAATGGAAAGTCACAAATCTTATTGCGAGGGTGTCAGAAGAACTATCTGGACAGATTGAGTCTAGATGGGTCAAAAGCTAAAAATTTAGCCCAAAGCATCCCTTTGCTGACTCAAAGAACTTCTGGTCTTTGCCATCAGCTGAAGTTGTTTCAGGTCTTTACAATTAATCTTCTACCTGTTGCTTGATTTCAACTGATCCTTCTTGTCCCTTTTGTTGATTTGGAATTGGAGGGAAAAACAGTGTGCAGACAATGTGTAAATTACTAATTTACAAAGGTTTGTGACTGGACTAAAATGTAGACTGGGTGCATATACGAGCTAGGTCTACATATATATGTGACATTTAAAGCAAAATGAAAGAAGGTGGAAACAGAAGATTAGAAGAAGTTCTGATGTTCTAGTGGATGAAACCAAACTCCATGTTTCGATGTCACCTGCAAAGCTAATTTCCAGACGAAAGCTAAAAATCAACTGCAATTTCTCCTAAAAGATCCTGATTCTGTCTTCCATTACAATGTTTTGCATGCCTCCATTAAACTGTTTGTTAAGGAATTTTAGGAGAGGGGGAAAAATAACAATAATAACTCACCTTCATGACCATAGTCCCTCTTATGACATGATCAATCGTCCCATAATCAAAATCATCTTTTGGCTCAAAGTAAAAGTATTCTTTGCTAGGGGAAATAGCTTTTAATAGCTTCAAGATGTTGTTTGAATAGAGGCTACTGGCCTGGGTAGCCATTCGGCTTGGCAAGTCCGTATAACCAATGTGCACCACGCCCTGAGTGTTGGAAAAGCAATAAATTAAGACCCTTAAAAACATCTTTTTCCATGTATTGCCTTGATACGACTTTGAGGTGTTTTGACTTGATAAATCCTTTATAGCTGATGGTAAATCAGATGTCTGCTGACACTTTATCTTGCCAGTTAAGGCAAAATTACTTTTTACATGAACAGCTTGCTCTTATTCTTGAAGGAGGGAAACTTTCCTTTTTGACTTCGAGCCAATGGCAGAGCAAGCCGGGAGGCCTTTGGGGGAAGCAGTTCCATCGCCATATGGTGCTTATTTCAAGAGTTAAGAAATCAAAACACACTTTAAAAGCCTGAAAACACCTCTTGGACATCTGATGCCATCATGGTTACACACTGTGCTTCCCAGATTAATTGCACTCCAATTAAACTCTGAAAAGTAAAGGGAGGGGGTCAGATAACCTGGCGTGGGCTATTTTGTCCACAAAACTATTTGCAGGGGGGGAGAAAGACAGAATGTCCCTTTGCAATTGTTTCAACAAATTAAACCTTAGAAAGAACAGAATAACAGGGTTGGAAGGGACCTTGGAGGTCATCTAGTCCATGCCCCTGCTCAAGCGGGAAACTCTATCATTTCAGACATATGGTTGTCCAACTTTTCTTAAAAACCTCCAGTGTTGGAGCCTTCTGGAGGCAATTCATCCCCCTGATTAATTGTTCTAACTGTCAAGAAATTTCTCCTTAGTTCTAGGTTGCTTCTCTCCTTGATTAGATTCCATCCCTTGCTTCTTGTCCTGCCTTCAATTGTAACCCTAAATTCTGGGTGAACTTTACAATCACACATGATGTCCTTCAAAGGCACTGTAAACTCAGTTAACTGTACATGTTACTGTTAAAGCAACTTACTTTGAGATTAAGGAGAAAAGCTTCAAATACATATCTGATTCGAGCACTGCACTAAACCATAACTAATTCACTATAGTGAAGAAGGGTTTCATAATTAAATTGCACTAATGCTCTTATATACAAAACTTCTGTAAAGGTGGAAGGTTTCCAGGACAGCCATAGTTCTTTTAACTACAGCTTGTTAAGTAAGCCAAAATGTCTGATTTTAGGAATATCTTAAATCATAATGTCAGCTTTGGAAGCCATATTGAGATCTGATGCTCCCATGCTGCCATAATTGAGCCTGGGAAAGTGTTAGGGGGGAGTTAATTGGAGTATATCTAGTTAGACATAATAACATTCTTTTTCTGATTCAAGGTCAGGTTGTGTTGCGCATAAGTGAGAGGAAGTCTTAACTTGGGACGGATGGTGATTGGGCCATGTGATGTGATTGATGGGTGCAGGGGATGGATTTGTAGTTTTTAATTATTGTAAGGAAGCCTGGAACTTTCAGATTTGGGATTCCACAGTTGTACCAGTTACTATCCAAATAAAAGGAACCTTTGAGAGATGTCTGTCTCGGAGTTATGGGGTGGAATGGAGTTTTGCTGGAACGCTGACACATAAAGGTATAACAAGCTTTTTTTGCCTGGGAGCTGCATAATTTCATTTGAAGGAGTGTCCTTCCTGAGTTGGGATAAAGCACAGTGGGTCCAGCCCATGTCAGATCCTTTTGAAAACCCAGATTTTAAAATGCCTAATATAGTTAAGAAGGCCTATGTGTGATGTTCTTCTGCTTTGGAGAAGAGCAAAATAATATCTCTGTCAAGCGGACAAAATGTCAGGATTCCAGTGATCGCCTTAATTAAATCATGCATCTGGAGCCAAACTTCAAAAAAATCCAAAGGATTTATTAGAGGCGACATACTGGCACGACCTGTATGAAGCCAACTCTGGCATACGTAATTTACAGTCCCCTGTGACCCTGTTTCCCCCCTCCTGGGTGTCTCATAAATCATATTCTCCAATTAAGCACATTCATGGGCTGGGTGTCATCATTCACCTTCTCCAATTAAATATATTCCCGGGCAAAAGCTCTGGTAGCTTTTTAAGATAAATGTTGGAATGTAGTTTTGATTTCAAACTGCTGCGCTGCTCTTCCAGATTTCCTTCCTCCCCGCCACTCCCCCTTGTTTATGGCAACTACTAAAAGAGGCCCAGGGATGTTTTATGAGTTGACACAAAATATTTGAAACAGACTCTCCCATGCAAACCTTATGTATGTGAAGTTCTCCAGGGTGAGTGGTCTCTACATTGCCACCAGCTTCTGCGGCAAGATCTACTATTACGGAACCATCTCTCATGGATTCCACCATAGGTTTGGTGATCAGGATTGGAGCTTTTTTCCCTGTCGCAAATGGCAAGAACAGAAATGAAAGATAGGAACTCTTTAAAAAAAAAAAAAGCATGAGCAGATGCCAACAAAACCTCAGGATTGTCTGGATTATATATGCAAGGATCAGCTTAGGCTCAACAATCCCTATCTATTTCTACAACCCATTGAGATAGCAACTAGCAGTATGTTCTGACCAGGACTTCCTGAGACCGTAATTAAGCACACGCTTAGTTAAAACAACTCTTGTTTTATTTCAATGCTGGGAATTATGTTCGTTCCCAGACTGTAATGACTCCCAAACAGTCCCTTGAGATAAGCACCCACCTTTCTCTCCTTTGAATTGCAGCCAACAACTAAAGTGCCAAATGAACTATAAAAAGCCAACTGTAGTACAAAGTTCACACAGAGCTTCAAGGTTTAATCCGAACATAGTGAACGACTTTGCTTCCTGCAAAGGTTTCTCTACCTTTTCCTGTCCTATATGCCTTATGGGAGGGGCAATTACCTCCGAACCTTACTCCCAAATTGCCCCTTTTGTCTCAGATGCTCTTGCCTTCTAGAAGCCCTGCGCACACACGCACACTGGGAACAGGCTCCCCTGGGTCCTCTGCCTTGCTGCTGCCAGGCTCCGAAGGCAGCACCCCACTCCCAGATGGTCCTGGCCCCATCTCTGCATTGGATGCAGGACCCTCATCTGAGTCCTCCCCAAACTCCCAGACTCCCCGTTCTTCCCCACTGTCCGATTCCGCTGCTGTCTACACAGGCTGCCGGCGAACTACAACACAGTAGGACTATCACTGCCTGCTGAATCTCCAAAACTGTGCAGGGCATATCTCTCAAGGCCAGGAAAATAAAACCCACACAATCGTTACATTTTCTATCTTTTTGCAAGAATCCTCTCTGGCTTACTTGACACTGATGACAAGATAAGAAACTAAATGTTGGGCTCTCTTATTAGAAGCATCCACTGCTAAGGCCTCTGTATAGGTAGTCCTCGACTTACGATCACAACTGAGCCCAAAAAGTCTAAGCGAAACAGTTGCGAAGTGAGTTTTGCCCCATTTTACAATCTTTCTTGCCACGGTTGTTAAGTGAATCATTGCAGCTCTTAAGCTAGTAACCTGATTGTTAAATGAATCTGCCTTCCAGTGGTGGGATTCAAATATTTTTATCACCGGTTCGGTGGGCTTGACTTGGTGGGTGCGCTTTGCGTGCATGCACACACTTTGCATGCACGCACATGACAAATGCGCACTTTGCACAGGCGCAGAGGTGTTTGCCTAGGCGCAGAGGCATTCTAACTCGCCTCCTGCTACCCTGCACGATCCCAGTCGCTTCAGCAGCTGCCGTGTGGCTCTATTCTGTGCCGCGCAAAGCAGCTGCGCTTCAAATTCAGTGGATAAAGGTGAGTATGGGAGCCCAGGCAGGTGGGTGGACCCAACAGCACACAGACAGAACTGGTTTGGTCTCCACTGCTCATCGCTGCTACCGGCTCGGGAGAACCGGGCCAAACCGGTAGAATACCACCACTACTGCCTTCCCCGTTGACTTTGCTTGTCAGAAAGTCACAAAAGGGGATCGCATGGCCCCACGGGACATTGCAAATATGAACCAGTTGCTAGGCATCCGAATTTTAATGATGTGACAATGGGGATACTGTTAACTGTGGAAAAACAGTCACAAGTCACATTTTTAGTGCAGTTGTAAATCAAGGAATATCTGTAATGGGGATAAGGTTGTAGTGTACCTGGAATAAGAGCTGTACTAATAACAATGTCCACCTCTTTGCACTGTTTAGCAAAGAGGGCCATTTCTGCCTCTATGAACTCCTTCGACATTTCTTTCGCATAACCTCCAACACCTTCTCCCGTTTCCGCAACGCTGACTTCTAAAGGTTCTGCACCGAGGGATTTGAACTGCTCCAAAGCTGGAGGGCTGAAAGCAAGGAGAATTTCACAGCAATCACTAGCTTGGATACTTTTCAGAGCGGAGATCAAGAGCATATAACTGCTTTTCAGTCCAAATATCACATCTGACCTTTGAGTAACGTGCCAGCAGATGCACTGTAAAATTCCTTCAATTTGCAACGGGTTGCTGGTTTTCAGCTAGCATTATTATTGCTACTTTTAGTTTATATCCCACTGTTCCTTCTCCCAGAGGGACTGTCTGGAAGGCTCACAACATACAAAGAAGGATAAGTAAAACTAATATGCATTAAAATAGACACGTATTTGAAATTCATAATCAACATTAGACTGAACCCTATTAAAGCTGGATGGTTCATTCCAGGCAACGAGTTAACGAGGGCAGAAAAATATGCTTTGGGTTTCCTTAGGATTTGTATCCTGTTTTTCTTTACAACAGAGGCAGGCTGAGGATTGGAGTTACTCTACCGGGTATCAAATCCTCTAACAATGGCTCCCATCGATTTTGCTGCTCCAGCTGCAGCCAAGCCAGCCACCCCTCCACCAATGATCAGCATCTAGAAAGGAAAACAACGGTGCATCATATACAATCTGACTTTATAGGAAGGGAGGGAGGGAGGGAGGGAGGGAGGGAGGGAGGGAGGGATAG